TATCTTTTCAATGCTGCTTTCATTCTCTTGTCAATCTTTTGTGGTACTGCTTCTCTTTTGTATATGGGAAACAAATAAACACTTTTTTTTTCTACAGTTGGGTGTTTTGTTCTCTAGTTTTTGCTGTACTTTTGGATAAATCTCTTTGGATACTCAGTTTCTCTTAGGCACGCAGGAGAAACTTTTCCACCACCTACTCCTTCTACTTTGGGTATGATTCCAAGTCATACGACTTTGTTAATAAAGTTTTGTTTTCTTTTTTGTTTTTTGGATTTTTGTATGGCGTCTTTGTAACATCTTCGTCTTAACCAGCACTTTGCCTCCTCTTTCCATCTATTACGTATTTTATCTTTTGGACACGTGTCTCTAATAATACCAATCTTAATGCCCCCCCCCCAAGTTACAATTTTGACTATTCATCACATTTCTGAAACATTTTGATGACGCAAAACAGTAACCCTAACTAATTTTTATCTTATTTTTGTTTTATAGTCCTAATGTACACACACACACAGAAAATAATTATAATATAAATACGATCATACAGCTAAGTGATGAATGAATTCGCCGGAGAGAAGAGACTCTTCGCTGCAATTTGTTGTTCTTTTTTACCAAGGCTTAATTCTTCTTCCACCTTGTTAGACAAATATAACTGTCTATCTTTTTCGTACAGTGGAATTACTAATCCATGCTTATAGCTTATAGGATGGAAGCTGTTCCAACATAGGGATTCTCCGATTCAGGTTTCTTTTCTGTAGATGAATTTTTCGACTGTACCATGGTTGCTTCTTCTTACAGGAAACTGAACGCATCGTTGTGTTTAATATTCCATGGTGAATTTAATGTTTGCGTGTATCTCTCACCAAGACGGTTATTTGACTGTCTTATGAACTGTATATATAGCCTTCTTGAGTTACTATGTGAACCTGAATACTAACACTGTTTATTCGGTTTTTCTGTTCTCTGTCTACTCCTCCCCGCACACACCCCTCCCTTCCTTTTCTATTTTGAAAGGTATATGAATTGATGGTGACTTAAACCAAAAAGTATTATAATGCTGCTTATAATTCGGATGCGTTGATTTTATAATGTTTTCTTTACTTCTATTCAAACCTTGAAGTATATATAATGTTACCGTCATTCTCTCTTATAACCATTGTGATTTCAGGTGTAGTTTGGAGCAGTAACAGCTGATGACGACCTGTAAAACTGTATGACGATGATATCATTTTTATACTGCCAATCTGGTCTTTGTTTTTTTTTATTGAAAATTGGTAATAAATAAATAGCAAGAGTATTCCACGAAGTGTATACATCAGATCATAGAAAATCATATTAAAGGAAAAAGATTTCAGTGAAGAAAATTTTCTTTTCGCCCGAAGTCATCAACTGGGCTGTACATTCGTGTATCTATAGGGTAAACAAGTGAGAAAGTTCCAGAACTAACTCGCGACGACAGTCAATTTGACAAGAATATAACTAGTGGGTTGCACTGAAATAATAACCACAAACTAAAAAAACACAAAGATTGAATATAAACACTGTTGGGTTATAATTCTTGGGAAAATTGAGCAACATTCACCTCTATTTAGATTTTAATATTTACTAAATCAGTTGAACTCACTGTTAATAATAATAATAATAATAATAATAATAATTTCGCTTTTATTCCAGGTGACAAAGCTACTAAATAAAATTATTTTATCTATTTTATGTCCCTATTCAGCATCCTCAACTCTCCACCATAAAATGTATAAATTCACTATATTGTTCTATCTTGTATTTTTTCTTTAGTCCATCTTTGTTTCCAAACGAATTGTGAAGTCTACCAGCCCATTTTTTTTCTTTTTTAATTCCTTTATGTTCCTAGTGGAACATGGAGCTTCAAGCTAGAGGTTTGAAGTGTTAGAAGCAGTGGTGTTTATTTTTACTGGAGGGGGTTGCTAGCCTCATGCCTTCAATCTTTCCTCTTTACCAGTCTTACCACTGATTTTTAGCGAGGTAAAAGAGTGAGTCAATGGCCGGGGATCGAACCCGAAACCACATGAGTGGTCTTTTCTTCGCTGCAATTGTCTTCTTATTAATTGCAAATACGTTCTTTCTTTCCATATTAGTTTGTTTATTAGATGTATCACACAGAGAAACAATATTATCTTTATTAAGTTTAAGTCACAGCGTACAAAAACTAAGTAGTACCAAGGAAAATCTAGGACGGGAAGTGAGACATATAAGAGAAGCCTTGAAACTTAATAATTATCCTGAAAAATTAGTCAGGAAATATGTAGAGAAGTGTAAAAATAAAAATAAAATAAATAATGATAATGGTGATAGTAATAATACTAATATTAATGATGATATGCATACGAAATATGCTCAAGATAACACCAACAATAAGGAATCTAAATCATCAGTAGTAATTCAATACAAGGAAGGTACCACGGAAACCTCGGAGACGGAGAATTCTTTACAAGGCTGGCAAAAATAAAAGTGACTGACTTTCAAACCAACCACAAACTCAATTAGAAACAAGCTTTGTCGGTTAAAGGATGAATTCTGTGGAGCCTTTAAAACAAGACAACAATTTAGTTTATCTAATATACTGCCGGAATGATTGTCAGGTCAAATACGTAGGTCAAAGCAGTAGAACAGGGTCAATGAGTCAGACTAGTCGAGCATAAAAGCCTAGCCACAAAATCTAGATTAGTTCGTCTGAATAAGATAAGAAATCTAGAGAATAGTTCAGCTATACCACTCACTACATGCAATTACACACAACCATACAATAGGATAGGATAAGATGACAGTTTTAAAGTTTAATTTCACAGGGTGGAGTGAGAAATTGATAACAGAAGCTTTGTTTATCGAATCAACTGTAAATGCGTGTAATAGAACTGATTCAACACCTGTCCACGTCAACATCTGGAAAATTCTACTACCCAAACAACGATAAATGGGAGAGGACAAAGAAAACTACAAAACTCAAGTTCCGAAGTCATGTGAATATAATTGATATGATTATGAAAAGCGAATTTTGTTCAAAACTGTGTCATCCAGTAAATAATACTGTTTCACTCACTGTGTGATATATCTAACAAGCAAACTAATATGGAATTACTTACTACCATACTGCCCAAGTTCTACACATATATTAATATGTTCTTTCTTTCTTTATTCAAACTAATAAAGCACACCACCAGCTGTATGAAATTGAGTTTTTGTTCATTTAGGGGTTAAAAATGTAGTCAAGACAAAGTAGACAGGAAGTTTGGATCAAAATAGCATAGTAATGCAAACAGTAATTAGAAAATACCACAATGTAAAAATAAAACAGAAATAAACAGGAGGATTGGATAAGGAAGCAAGGTGAATCACTGTTGAAAGAATCGACTGATTATGATGGCCATGATACAGACGGACGTTGGACATATTTCTTATGAATACACAGAGTGGACTTGAAATTTTCGATCCTTAGTGTCCCAGAAATGCCCAGATGCATTGACTTCACTCTTTTTGGGAGGTCTGATCGGATCTTGTAATTTCATCTCCTACTTACATGGTCTCGTCCACACCACCTCAAAACTACATACTCGTCGTTTCCCACTCAAGGGTCCCACTTCATGGATAACTCGGTGTGCGATGTCCCAGCCCTCTCTATTTTCTTACACGTATTTGTTGCTATGACGATAGATTATTGATTGCTTCGTTGTCAGAGCTTTTCGTTGGTAGTCCTTCCCATTGACCATCTGATTTTCAGTATCCAGCCAGCGACAGCCAACAGCAGTTGATGAAGACCTGCAATCTGTTAGAAATGGATTTGTGGCTTACCAACTGAGTTAAGGTTGGCGAGACAATGTGGATCTTGTTATGTATGCTGAGAAGTGCAGAAGATTTTTTGACTCATCACACAGGGATGAAGGTTTTTGTTGCCTTTCTGATTGTGGGTGATTTTGATATCGTCACCTGGATCATGGGGTTGTAGGTGAAATGATGCTTTCTGGATAAGTGAAGGGAGTGACCCCTTCCAACCTCTTTCTTCGTTGATGGTGATTGATGCTGGTTGTTTTTGTGATTGGTGGTGGTGGTTGTTTGTTTGTCTTCATCACCTCCGTCTCTACCTTCTCTCTGTTCACCTGGACTATTCTCTTCGCTACCACCTTCTTCAACCAATTGGTTAATTTTCGCCTATTTGTCATGGAGTCTGTGTGACATTCAACATAAATTACCCACAAAATTCAGATCTACTAGAGTCTTCCTGTCGATACAGATCATCCCTGTCTTTTCGCTTCTCGCAAGCCACACACACATACAATCGGGTCCTCAAAAATCATCATTGTCTCCCAAGGTAACAAACAGCCTTGTCTTTCTCTCATATTCACCTCAAAGGCAGATTTCGCCGAGTTTTCCTTCATTCATGACTTGACTTGCAGCAGCATAGTTATGTAGCTGTTGAATGAGTTTATTAAGGGCTTGGGTCATGCCATAGTGTTGATATAGTTTCTAAATTACCTCGCGACCAACGCTGTTGAAGGCATTTCCAAGGTCGATGGAGGGGAGGTAGAAATTTGACTGCCATTCTGTGGTGTGATGTAATGATGATGATGATGTGTAGAGTTGCAGTTCAATCCGGACATGATTTGTTTTTCCTGAATCCAGCTTGTTTCGTTGGGGCTGGCAGAGTTCCACACCCAGTGTATCTTTTATCCTCTCTCCAGGATGACGCGACTTATTACTCTAGTGGGATAGGGGTAAACAGAAAGACTCAGGCTGATGAAAGCCTTCGGAAGCCAGTCGGCTGATGAGTCTTCTCTTGATGAAAGCAAACGCGGAATGTTTGAACTACTTCTTGTGACTGAAATATGAAATAAATTTTACTGAATGAATACTTCAGGGGGACTCCATTCTCTCTCTCCCTCTCTCTATATATAGTTCTCTAATTAATTCACTCAATACTCAATGGTGTATGCTCATACTGTCATTCTAGAATTTTCTTCTTTTTTCAGATTATTTTACCATATGTGCTAAAAAATGTTAAAAATATCACCAAAAATACAGGAGGTGGAAAATTTTTAACAGAATTTGGTCTTTGCTTTCCTGATGGTAACCCGAATTCAATAAATACTGTAGAATTTAACGCTATACTGGATGCAGCTGATGAACACTTTGAGTCATGGACGTATTGGGATGATTATAATTCATTTCCTAGAGTCACTCTTTATGATAATCAAGTAAGTTGAGAATAAATTTCAACTTGTAAAATGCTATTTATGCATATGTATATATATTTTTTAATGAATGTTCTTCATATCATTCAGACTACTTGTACGGTCTATTTTAAAAGTAATTATAGTTTTGTTATGCAATGTACCGTGGAAGTGTTATAGTATTTCATAAGAAGATTTGGATTTCACGTGTGGATGATTTATATCATTGAATGTCACACGAAAAACTCGAAGACTTGCAGGGGAAAACGAAAAGTTGGTAGAAAAAAAAAGACAGCGAACACAGGACTCCAGGTGAGCATGGAGAAGACTGAGGGGATGAAGAGAACCCGCGAACCAGCACCAACGAGAGAAACAGGTTACTTCCTGCTAAGCAGCATCATTTCAAACGCAGATGAAGATGTGAAAGCCAACCAACCAGCCAGTCAGAATTGGAAAGACAAGCAAGATACACACGTAATCTTTCACACTATACCTCAGGATAGACAACAAGATTCATATTCTATTCAACACAAATGTCAGTGAATTCAGCCAATCAGTCAGTCAATTCCTCTATACGGGTCAGAAACTTGGTTTGTGCATCACGGAAAACATTTTTTACAACAGCCAGCTGGAGACTTTTATCAACAGCTGCCACCTTCACTGCCTGGCTGCCTACTGAAGATTAAAAAAGCCAGTTGGTTAGATCTCCAGAAAGAATTAGCAACACGAAACTCTACCAAATGAACAAACTTAACCGATAACAACAAATATGTAGGAGAAAATGAAGATGATTTGATCGGATATATATGCTGAGGAAGGAGGTGGTCGAATGACATTTTGTTCAATGCAGACCATCGACTACACAAGTGTAACACTCAATGGGAAGGGACGAGTAGGTTGTCGGTGCTATTGTGTTATGTAGGAGAATAGTGTGAGCTGAAGGGAGGAGGAGATGAAAGATTATGGCCGATCATGGCGTTAGCCAGGTGAAAAAGAGAGCAGAAAATAGAAGAGAATGTAGATGTGCTGTTGACGCCCTACACTCAAAACCCAAAGTAACAATAATAATAATAATAATTTCATTAGAATTCAGAGCTCATAATATACTGATGTAAGCAATTTCTAACATTGAGAAGTTGGGTAATAAATGCTTATAGTCATTGGTATATAATTCAATATGATTGTGGAAAATACATGCAAGCGTGGAATGAATATTTACACAAATGTTTTCGTCTTGATCATCCTTCAAGTAAATGCAAGTAGTTACAAGAAATTCCCTCCCACCCTCAACCCTCAGAAAAATGAATTATTAAAAAAAGATGTAAAGTAGCAACTCTTTGCTTTCACAACCGACAAAAGATTCTGGGATTGGTTAAATGTGATTCGCAGCATGTGGTGTTCTATACAGTCAGTCAGGAGAGTATACTCCACAGAAAAATTAGAGGAATCATTTATGATTCTCCAAAAGATGTTCAAAGCCGACGGTAACTCTCACAGATTCATTAATAAATACGGAATGTGTGAAAGCTATAACGCCAAACGGATTACAGCAGGAAAGAAGCCTAACATCATTCAACTTGATTTTAAAGATGACAATATTGCAGAAATAATCAATAGAAGATTGAATATTTTTCCCTAGTAACAGCCTCTTCTGCAGCTAGCTAAGTTGGCTGCCATCTATCGGACAATATGCCCCATTTTGATCCAATCAAATATCGACAGATACCCACCTCTCTCATATTAGCAACTCCAACTGTGTATACAAATTTGCGAGCATGTATCTGTGGGAACAGTTACAATGGGAGAATAGAAAGAAGAAGAAGTACATTGCCAGGCATCTCCTTGATAAGGATGATGAGGTAAATGTCGCAAATTCGTTAGAAATTATCAGTATGCAAATGAAGTTGAATTTTCCTTAGGTGTGCCGAAGCAATCTTCATCTAACGCCTGAAACCCGATTTATGCGTTGAGCAAAAGGTGGTTATCGGTCTTTCCTTGGCCTGTTTTCATACTTTCTTTTATTTGGTTACGTAACGCCAAAAAGTTCCATTGTGTATGTTTGCTGTTGTTTGTGATATTTTTATATTTATTTTATTACCTAACCATACTTAAGCAGTCTTATTACTGGCTTGGTGGGGTAAAGAAGTGTATCGGCCGGGGATCGAAACCCGAACAGCATGTGTGGTTGCCAGGCATTCTACCACTATGTCGCTGTTTGGGATAAAATGATTAGTATCATTAATCTTATTATTATTACCACTGTATGCAAACATGTTGGTTTTTTTTGATTGGACACTAGTAACTAGTTGGCACTAGCTCAGTGGTAACGTCTCTGACTGCAACACTGGGTGACGTGGGTTCGAATCTCAGAAGGAACATGAGTTCCTTCAAGGTTACAGATACGCCTTGCTGATGAGTGCCAACTAACACGAAACCTAGGTCCAAGGCTTCCTGTCGATTGCCTCCAACCATCTAATATCATCAAATGTTGGTTTTTTTTGTTTAAAAAGGAACTCTCTGTGTGTAAGTATGTTACAATTGTTTCTGTACATAAATTGATCAATGTCTTTGGACGAAGTAAGCAATGCTAATGGTACCATCTTCTTATTCTGTACAAACCACCGTTATTCTTGTTTTATTCAAAAGCATGCGGTATGTTAAGATCATTTCGCTTCTGTGATTGGAGTTGATTCTTTTACCCGTCAATCGTCCGGTTAGATCGAAAAGCGAAATAATAATAATAGGTGATTATTATATGATTATGATTGATATGATTATGCACAATAAATTGTGCTCGAAACGTCGTCCAGTAAATAATACTGTGTTCACTGTCTGATACATCTAATAAACAAACTAATATATATATATATATATATATATATAAGCAAATTAACAGTGTGAGTTCTAAGGGGTTAGGACATTTGGACCCAGTTCTCATTTAACTGTCTGATTATCCAGCTTCCACTTAAGGCTGTTTTACGGACACTGCAATAGACACATCTGTAGGTAAAACGTTCCAGGGGTGGTAAACTTGAACAGAAAATAAATGGGTGCTCACTCGAGTTATGCTTCGTGGATTACAATGTGGAAGGCCATACACCTGATGGAATGTCAGCTGTGTGTTTCAGACTGCGGGGGGGGAGGGGGCTAGACTGCCTACATTACAGAAGAAATGAAAGGATATATGATACAACAGTGACAGAGATATCTGCGGGACAGATAGAATGGATTTGGGCTGTCAAAATTGGCAACTACAAAGTCAATAATATATTGAGGTTAACCAGATGACAACGTCAATTGTATACTGACACTATGACTATCATGATATCACCAACAGAATCCAAGACTCTTATGTAGTGCAGAACAAATTTCCTCCAAGATTATGATAGAAAGATTCAACTTGAAAGGGAAGGAGTTTGCAATTTATACACTCAACTCACGCAATTCAGACTTAGCGGTCAAGATGCAGGATTTTCACAAGCAACTTAGAAAAAAAAACAAGACCAAATCCACATGGTAACATCGAAATTCTAGCAAATGTTATTAATGCAAGTGATATAAGGGCAAGGGAACTGATCATCAGTCAAGAGACACACATTAAAATCATTGAGAGTAGAGAACTGTCTGCAGACTACAAATTGGTGAATGGAGGCAACGTGTACATGCGCAAAGAAATCCACCAGATGATGTGGCTTCCAACGGATCGATAAAATGAAAGTCAGACAGAACTCATCTCAATCTCAAGAAAGTGAAAATGCAACACATGTAAGTTGTAATCACTCAATGTCTTGTGCAAGGAACCTTAAAGACCAAATTGACGAGGGGACCTTGAAGAAGGGGGTAATGAACCACAGTTCAAGTTCAAACGAACAGCTGTTTATATACAGTTTATATTCCTTAACCAATCACTGAGTGTGTGATTTCGGTTTACATCAAACGACATGAAATAGAATGTTCAAATGTAAATAGTATTCTTTTATTAATGCCAAAGTGAACTGTAGGAACATGTGAGAATGACATTCCGTTGGCACACATTGTCTGTATCACACCAATACAAAAGGAATGGCGGACAAAGAAGGATGAGGGAGTCGGGATAACGCTCAGTTGCCCAGGATGTAGGCTTCAAACAGGTAGTCGATTATCGTCGTCGGAGCGGTTCACTCCTGTCTTCGATGCATTATGTCTGCAGCTTTAGAACTAACGAGCAATTTAAACAACTACGTTACATTAATGTATATCTGTCTGTCTGTTATCGACATAGAACTTTGCACAAATGTGTGGCAGTTCAAGTCGCCACACTCTATGTAGCACACGAAGCAAGTGAAGAAAGTACAAGAAAAGCATAATAGATACAGTAAGCAGAAGTGTGAGACAAAGGAGGAGTAATAACGAAGAACAAATCAGTTCCATTGGAAATCATAAGTCACAAGGAGTGGATGCATCTGCGCCACTGAGAACGATTTTGAGCCATGTCCCTGATTGTTTCCAACCATTTGTTTTTACCATCCCGAGGACCCCAGTCTGGAAGTCTACACCTTCCTATGTGGCTTAGACCAACTGTTGTGGATTTCATTGACTGGTGCCAAGTTTTTGTTTGACCGCCGCTAGCTTTTTTCCAGCCTAACCCTATATCCGCTAACATTGCTCGTCGAGGAAGGCGATGACTTGGCATACGTAACATTAATATTCCTATTCAGCATTCACTGAGACTTAAAAGGCTGTGAACAGCAGGAACTATCTTCAGTTAATTTCCCAAGTACTCGAAAACAACGGAATTCAGAACTATAAACTTACATAAACATCCTTCAAGAAATCGTTTGAGTTGAAGGGATGAGGTTATGGGCAGTCGTGTGGGGCTAGGCAGCTGAGCAGGACAGCAGAGTATAGAAGAGAGCGGAGATGTATTGCTGAAACCGAGGGAATCGTAATGATAATCATTTATTAATAATGAGTTTATGATGAATCCTACGGATAATCTTGAGATACATAAACTCACTCTCAGCTTACATGTTTTCTCTCTCACTTTCTGTTTTCCTTCATTATCCCCCCCCCGTCTCTTTAGCTTAGATCATTTAGTCGTGCTTATCCACAATCAACAGCTGGTCAACCGATACGATTAAATTTCAATGTGGCTACAAGTGAATTCTATTATACTTTTAAAGTAACACATAAATGTAAACGTGATCATAAATTGTTGTTAATCGCAGAAATCTATGTACCATTACAGATACATTATCCATCTGGAATGAATGTCACTTTTACACCCAGCGAATTATACTATGTATTGAATAAGGAGAATACACATCTAATGTCTGTTTATGCACCATGCACACTCATTCATAATAATGATAATAATAATAATAATATTCATGGGGATGATTTAAAAGTTGAAATAAGAATTACACCATTTCACACGTCTAGTAGTAATGAGAACTCCGGTAACATAATATCCTATTCAACTTTTATACAAATTTTATTAATTATTAAATGTTTATTGTTAGCGTCTATCTGAGATTTTCTGGTTTGTCTGTTGTTGTTTTTTTTTGTTTTTTTATGTGATGAATTGATTTGATTTGATTTTCACTTTGACTCTGATTTTGATTTTGATACCTTCTTAACAAGATGATTTTGTCAGCGAACAATTGTGGTTTCGATAAGAAACGTCTTCTTGTTCTTTTTCTATATCTCCGCTTGCTTCACATTCTACACACTTATAAATCCATGAATAATATTAGAATATATATATATACAAATAGTCAGCCATCAGTAAAGGTATGTGTGCAAATTTAAATCAGAAACTGGTCTGTGGTAGGCGGGGTACATGTATGTATAAAATATGGCGAGTTCCTGACAAGTTAATACTGTCATCAGTTGAGTGTATATCGAAAATGTGCAGTCATTCAGAAAAATGGGTGGTGGCAAAGTTAAACTTTCGACACCACTAGCAACCAATCAGCAAACGACCTTGAACGGACCAATCACATTAAACAGGCGGCATATATGATGAATGGAAACGCATATTTATAGAAAAAAGCATAAAGAAGGATAAAACGGTTACAAGGAGTATCTTTCTCGAATATGTGAGAGAAACATCCCCCAGTTTAGCATGTGACTGTCAATGGCGAAGTCACAGCACATCCTGTACTTATATTCATCTGAACGGCTGTAAATGAGATCCTTTCCAGATCCATTTATAGCTCTTATCTTGTTTTTCAAGCGGCCCCGTAAACCTTCAGTGAAATTCGTATGAGTCCTCGTAACGGGATCCACAAAGCAAACAAGTGATTGTCTCTATTTTACACGAAGCAATATCTCTGCAATGCTGGTACCAATACTGTTGAGACAAGACTATTCTCAGTCTCGGCAGCTGCTGCTCTCACCGGCTGTTTCAACACCCAGTAATTGCAGATATACAAAATTTGGGTTAGGGAGAGATGTGACCTAGCGGAAAAATTTCCCACGAAATATTAAAATTATCAGCTTACCCTCTCTTATATTAGCATGCTTCAAACATATAACACAACGATGAACAAACCCACCAGTTGATCTGCTATAGCTTTTTAAAGTCATGATACCAACACAAGAACAAGTTCGCTCCTTCCGGAGCAATTTAAATCCAGGCAATACTGGAAAACACTAACCTCCTCAAATTACAGCCGTAACCTTGTGAGGTCACGCATTAGAAATGAATCAAGCGCTCTACAACATTGAACTACGTTCGTGAATCTCATTGGATAATTCGACGTCGTTCGTAAATCTCATTGGATAATTCGCTGATTGGTAGTTAGTGGTGTCGAAAGTTTAACTTCGCCTGGGTGGTAACATAATGGACAGTTAGTTCATTCCAAAAATCGCGACTCCAATTCAGCATTACGCATCCACCCCCCACTGTGGTTCAAACCCAGCACATTTAGCTTACTTAGAACACAGAACATAAACAGATTTTTCGAACAAATCAATTCAAAGGTGGAGGCAGTTCAATTCACTTATGAATTAGAAAGTCAAGAAGCTGAGCATCCACTATCAGAGTGGGAATTTAAGCACTGATGTTTTTGCAGGAAACCCACACGTTGAAACCGATATTTCAAATTGAAATTGTCGCACTCCAATGTCAGTAAAGAGAGGATTAGTGAAATGTTTAAATGACATTAGGGCATATAAACTAGGTAATACCAGGGAAAATCTAAGACAGGAAGTAAGGCATACAAGAGAAGCTTTCAAACTTAATTAATAATTTCCCTGATAAATTAACCAAGAATTATGTTGACAAATGTAAAAATAAAATTAATGATAGTGATGACAATAATATTATTAATGATGACATGCATGTCAAACATGCATGCACAGAATGATGACAACACAAACAATAAGGAATTTAAATCACTAGTATTACTTCCATACAAAGAAGAAACCTCGGAAACCTTACGGCCGAGAATTCTTAACAATGCAAGAAAGAATAAAAGTGGTTGACATTCAAAACACCCACAAATTCATTCAGGAATAAACTTTATCGGTTAAAAGATCCTGCCTGTGGAGCCAATTAAAAAAAACAATTTAGTTTATCTAATACCCTGCTGGAATGATTTTCACATCAAAATAATATAACAGCGTCAGTCAGTTGGACTAGCGGAGCACAAAACCTAGCGAAATCTAGATTAGTTGACCCGAATAAGATAAGAAATCTAGAGAATAGTTCAGCTATACCACTCACTACATGCAATTACACACAACCATACAATGTAGGATGGGATGGGATAAGATGACAGTTTTGAAATCTAAAGTAGCAGGGTACAGAGATAGAGGTCGATAACTGACTGGCGCTTTGTTTATCGAATCAACTGAGAGAGAACACGTGAAATAGGAATAATTGAACATCTTTCCACTCAAACATCTGGAAGATTCTACTAAGCTCATTGACGAATGGGAAGGAATAAAGAAAACTATAAAACGAAAGTTTCAAAGTTGTATGGTTATAATTCATACAATGATTATGAACAGTAAATAAATAAATAAATTGCTTTGTTCAAGTTTATTAATGGCAAGAATTGCATGAAGTTTCTAAATAAATTGTGTTGGAAATTTTGTCGGCCAGTAATTGATAACACTGTTTCACTCTGTGTATCTGTGTGATATATCTAATAAACAAATTCACTGCGGAGTTACATACTACATAAATGTTTTAGTGTTAGATAAACTTTCATCAGACAGTCTGCAATTTGATGTGTGAACAATCCCAGGTTCCACCAACTCACGATATAATTCTGTTGCCGTGTGCTACCAGCAGCGAATGCCTGTCCCTATACCGGACTTGGTGGACCTTACTGGGTACAACTTCTCATAAGAGCTTCAGCATACTTACTCTGTAGTCAATCAATAATGATCAATTTCCGAGTAGAGGATTGATTTCAACCTTGGGTGCTACATATCACAAACTGCAACAAATAAGTATCCATTTTCCACTGGATTCCAACCCGATGGTTAAATGGTTGACAATCTCGCCTTTTCAAATGAAGGTCCACAGATCAAAGTCTCGTGGGGTTGTTGTTGGTGTACACTGGTGAAAAGTCTCAAACTGTCCGCTTTCTGTCCCCCTCCCCGCATGGTTAACAGTTGTTGTCTATTCGATTTCTGTCTGTAACGAAATGTATCTTGAAGCTGATTGGTTTAAATTTAATTTTCGTTTACCACAGAATTAGATTGTGTATCCTCTTAATATGTTTAACCTTCATCAACAAAAGTGTATATCCACAGTGAAACTATCATCAGTTGCGATCACTTCACATATATCCTATCTCCATTTGCTATCACGGCGGCCTGCTTAAATCTTGGGCTACCAAAATTTCCATCCTACATATTGCATCTATTTCCTCGGATTTATTTTGTTTTAATCATTCAATTATGTATCCAAGTCGCATTACTTACTCTCGCGATTATTTAAAATGTCTTCAACCTGTTGATTTACGAGTATATAATAACGTTAAGAAAAAGCATCATGGAGGTTGGCAGAGATCATTAAAGTGTACTCCAATGCATCAGATGACTGTTCCTGTGATTATGAGCACAAATTGCAGGTCATTATCGAACAAGATTAACTACTTGCATTCTCTATTATACTCAAATGTATATTGTAATACTGGTGTAATCACTCTTCAAGAGACTTGGCTCCATGATTCATATGACGACAATTTAGTCTCCTTAAGTGGGTTCACAATCTACAGACAAGACCGATGCAGCTCGAAGAAGAAGAGAGGTGGTGGTGTTGCCACTTTTATTAATTCTCAGTGGTCTACTGCCAACAACGTCTGCTTCAAATTCTCAAATGACAATATTGACTGTATAACTGTAAAATGTCGACCTAAACACTTACCTAAGTACAACTCCATTTTTGTCACAAATATCTATATCACACCTTGTTGCAGTCCCTCAGAACTATCTATCTTCGCTGATGAATTCACTATTTTTGCTGCTGCTTCGTTTGGTAACTCCTTATCTATAGTGACCGGCGACTTCAACTCCAGCGACTGCAGTTTTATTACATTGCTGGGCCATGCAAATGTTGTTAATTTCCCAACTCGACAAAATACTTCACTTGATTTAGTATTTGTAAATGATTCTGGAATATACGAAGCTCGTAAAAGAGCCCCACTCTTCAATTCTGATCATTGTATTGTACGAGTCTTACCCAAAATTTACGGAAAGTTACACAGTAAAGCCCTCTCAAACTTGTCTAAGAAAGTTGTTCACAGATGCTACTCAAATGAGAACGTACATCATCTTAGAAACATGCTCAGTGACACAAGATGGGATTTGTTTAATGTTGATTCACTTAATGACAATATCTCTAATATTACATCCTATCTGAAATTCTGTTTTGAAATCTGTTGTCCAAAAGAAACACTATTCGTCAAATTTGACCGTTTCTCCTCGCCTCAACTTAAAAAGCTTCGTAGAGAGAAGGAAAAACTATATAAAATCAAAGATAAAATTGGTGTAAAAAGAACTAACTTCTTAATTAAGTCTGAAATGCAGAGGTTGAATGTAATATATAACCAGAAATTCATGTCCTGCAAAAATCCTTCTAATATGTGGAAACTATTTAAGGAAATCACTGGTGGTAAGCAGATAAACAATATTCCATATTCTTTTGATGTATGTACTCTTAACAAATCTTTTATTTACTCTCCCTCAAATGCCATGCTTCCCAGCATCACTTGTGTTAATAATAGCCCCTTTCCAGGTTTTAACACAAATGATGTTCAAAAGTGCCTCAAGTCTCTAAACCCTTCCCAGAGCTTAGGTCCCGATTATGTACCTAGTATTATTTTTAAAAAATGTTCTGATATTCTGTGTCACCCTCTTACTGATCTATTTAACAAATCTTTTTCCGATAATATTGTGCCTGCCGTTTGGAAGGACATTAAAGTTGTACCCATACCTAAATCTTCTACTGGAGCATGTGTCAAATTTAGACCCATTGCTATTACGTCTCCTTTTTTGAAAACTATGGAGAAATTACTTTTACTTAGTCTTGAACCTTCGCTTAAATCCTTTAATGACCCTAAACAATTTGCCTATAAGCACAGTAGAAGCACTTTAGATGCAGCTGCCGTCTTATATCATAACATTGCTTCCAGTCTAGACAAGGGGGCTAAATTTGTTCGTTGCGCCTTCCTAGACTATACATCTGCTTTCGACTCGGTCCCTAGGGACATCTTATTAAATAAACTTGCTGCTAGTCAAACAGAATGTTGGGCTGTTAACTGGTTACATTCCTATTTCTCAGATAGAAAGCAGTACACCGTATATAAAGGGAAGTCCTCCACTTCATTGCCTACTGAAGCTGGTGTCCCTCAAGGTGCTGTTCTTTCTCCTTTTCTTTTTTCTTTCTTCTTGCACGACTTGCCTCACTCTGATGAAATAAACTTTGTGAAGTATGCTGATGATTTAACGGTTTCAATGGCTGTTAACTCCCAGCTAGATTGTACTAAAATAAATAGCTTTCTATCGGAAGTCAGCAAATGGTCTGAGTCTAACGGTCTTAAACTGAATCCTTCTAAGTGTCAAACTGTTGATTTCAGCTTAAGATGTAAACGACAGTTAAAAGAAGTCATCGATTCTCATGACACTTGTAAAATTGACGACAATGATATAGGAATCAAATCAGAAATTAAGTATCTTGGACTCATTCTCTCTTCTGATCTCTCCTGGTCTTCCCATGTCTTAGCAATCTCCAGTAAAATATTCCGCCTGACATTTTACATTAAGAAGTTAAGACACTCGGGTATAACTCAACCCCTCATCCTACAGTTCGTAAACTCTTGCATCCTACCTATTCTTCTTTATTGCTCACCCTTATTCTTTCCTGGTTTGCTTAAAAAAGACTATGTCACAATTCGTAGAATACTGAAGACTGTCAGTAGAGTGAGTGGTGTCCCAGTGGACCACATAGTTAACGTCGTTGTCGATAGGCATTTGACTTCGTGCAATAAATTTGCTAAAGGGATTTTGTCTGACTTGGAGCATCCGCTTTACCCTCAGCTTTCACCTTGCATCTCCTCAGGTAGAACAAGGAGTAACTTCAGAAAACTGTATGCTCGCACGTCTAAGTATAAGAATTCTATGATACCATACTTGGCACGTATTTTATGTGATGAAAATAGTGTCAGGCAAGAATTAACTAACCTTCTTTCATCTAGTAAATAAACAATTTCCTCCATCCATCCTTACATACCTTCAAGTTTTACTTTTATTACTTCTATTATATTTATGGTCCTGTTAATTCTCTGTTTTACTCTCATAATTGCAAACACCAACTTATCTC